GGTTGTAGTCCCAGAGATGACTAAGTAGTTCATTGCTGCATCTGTGTACCATGCTTGCGGTACAGAAAGGGACACTCTAGCTGGTGCAATTATTTAAAGCGAAGAATTCTATACAATAGATAAAAACTATTTCCTCTGCTGGAGATTTCCCTAAAAGAGAGGTGCTGTCTTCAAATAAGGCCAGATCTTTCAGAAGTGTCGATCTGGAACTAACTCCTCCAGAAAACTACTGAGGCTACATCAATTGAAAACTCCACAACTAATTTGGATTGAATTTTGCTAGGCAACAGTATTAAAAGATCACAAAGCCAAGATGGCCATACGTAACTGTAGTACAAACCAACCATCATTTAACTGAATGGTGGAAAAGGCTCAAGCTGTTGTACATTCCACAGCTTGTCTTAAGACTTAAAATGCAATCACTTATGATTTTTTTTGTTCCGTTTTAAGGTGAAAAATCACTGATTACATCCGTCTTATTATTCAAATCCCATTCAAGATTTGAATAGGGTGCAGAAGCTTCAACTAAAAATTGACTGTTGGGTTGCAATGGATTTTTCACAATAAATCTGCTTGTAAGTACACACTGCACCCTCCAGATGTTCTGTATCCCTTTATCTTTGTTTCCAATTTATTTTCGGAAGCTTAACTATTTGTAAATATCTAAATAGCATTTAATTCCACTTTCTTCCATTTCATTTTAATTTCCTTCTAGTTCCTTGCCAGATGATCCCACCCCCTCCCCTATCAACATAGTATGGGCAGAGCTGGAAGGAATTATAACATGTGATTGTAACAGTTTTAGCGTACAGGGGTACCCAGAGAAGCATTTCTTTCCTCCCAAAGCACCTCTACAAGAGTTATTTGAAGAATGCACAACTAAATTAAACCCAGCAGAGCAAATTGGGAATAGTAACTCCCATTAAAGCATATAAAATGAACTAAGTCTTGAAAATATCATGTATTGACATTACCTGTCTGTAAGGAAATAGAAGGCAAATCTGTATAGCTTTAAAGCTCCTACTAATCAGGATGCGTTTCCCCATTGGTACAGCAGGTCAACTAGAAATACAGGGGAGTCCATTCAAGTTCAAAAAGGCAAGAACAAGTCAATAGTTCAATTTCTGAATATGAAGATTCACTGTTTCAGGTCAAAAGGCCAAAGAAACCTTCTGCTGATCATTACCTACTACCTGATCGGTCACATATTTGCCTATGATTGCTTGTAACATAACCAAATTCATGAGGGCATTCAGCCACTGTACATCCATTTAACTTTCTCATGTGCCGCAGCATTTTAGCCTAACAATGAAATAAAGAATCTCAGAATTTAGCAGCCTACACCTGATAATCCATTCAACCCGTGGTTATGATCAACAAGATACACAAGTTCAGGGACAAATTCTGCTTCTTTGACAAAATTCTGTCACAGAACATGGAGACCTCACACTGGCAGGTCTGAAACTTGAGCAGAGAGTTAGGAACAAAGGAGTTAAAGCAGTTAACAGAAGCCTATAAATTCCAAATTTTTGTCCTCATTATCCTTACAGGTCATTCATAGGCCCTCTACCGCTCTCATGTAAAGAAATTTGCACTTGCACTGTCTGCAATGTGTCATCAGTATCTGTTTGTCACATTTGGCACTTACTGTTATGAACTTTAATAAATCTGGATTTGAGATCATGATTGAAAGAAAAACTGTTCAGTTAAACCTGTTTGAACATGTCACATTGTTGGAATTTCTAAAATAGCCTTCTGCGATGAGTTGCAATCCTGATATCGTAGCCAAGTTGGGCTATAAAGACATCTTAAAAGCTGATAACAATCCCCTCTTGACACCAAGGGAAAACACGGTCACAGACAGACCATAACGATGTCAGTTAGAATAAATCCGAGACCACAAGATTGTAAAATCTAGCTCCCAACTGTGCACAGAACATAAAGCTGCTAATGTTTTATATGTACATCTATAATTGGGCTCATCTTGGAACAGCACACCAGTGGGTGAAATTCATCTGGCAACTCAGTAAGAGATTCCTTCAACAGGCCCCCTAGCTAACAAATGTTAGTAAAACTAACAGCACAGGAGGTACTTGGAGAAGGAATCAATGGTAACCAAGCCAGCTCAAGTAGTGACACTTCAATGGACTGAGTTAGGCAAGACCTAAAAACCATAGGGACAAGACCAAGCCTGTGCAGACTGGTGAAAGATCCAATGTGAGGGAATAGCTTATATTGCCCTGACTGATAACTGTCTGCCACAGATATATGGAAATCTAGAAAACAGGAGCAGGATGGAGCCATTCAGCTCTTTGCGTCTGGTCCACCATTCAATGTGATCATGACTGATCACCCAACTCTGTACTCTGTTCCCACTTTCTCCCCATACCCTTTGATCCCTTTAGGCTTGAGAAATAATTCCTTCACTACAGCAATTACAATTCTCATTAGTCCTTCAAGGCCAAAGCAGCAACATTCATCATCTGCAGCATTTGATGTGTCTTCAGTAGGTATGTGGGAGATGGCCAAAGTCAATGTGTGCCTGTAACATTCCTACAGTTATTACTGGACATACCACAGGTGATTGCATTTCCAATGAGGTGCTGGCTCAGGATTTCCTTTCCTGGTGTTTACTCGCTGCTTCCGAGATACATTTTAATTTAAAGGAGAGCAGACAGATCATTATTTTGTTACACCAGGAGCAGCAATCCTGCACAATGTTCTCCCAGCAGGGCCTGGGAAAGGCTGATGGAAGCAGTGCCAATCATTGTTGTCCCATTCCTTCAAAGGGGCTGGGCTCAGGCAGCATGTCCCTCTGAGTTGCCTCACACCATGGAAGAGATACTCAGGACACTACCTCAACTTTGTTTTTGTTTTACCTACAGCACCACCCTTCTGTATAGGCAGCATACACTCCTGTTCGCACATTGCTCAGAATCTCCCAACGTGGCCAATTGATGCAAATTTCCCAGAGCTCCCAGAGACACAGCATGTGAACTGGCTGCCTTTAGGCAGTGAAACGCCACCACCTCCCCAGTTCTCCTGAGCCTCAGCCAGTCCTCGTGGTGCGTGTGGAAATCGCAAGAAGCTCAGCCGAAGAGATGCTGTGCTGTCGTGGCCTGAGCAAGGCCCCAGTGATGCAGATGAAGTGAAACATTAAAATTCCATGGCCGCCTCCTTGTCAATCTGCATGGGTCACAAAAAATTACACCTTCTCCCACTCCTCCTCCAACATCAATAAACAGCACAAACTCACATTTTAGCTCAATTCAGGGGAACGATGTGGTGAAAGGAGAAAAAGCAGCTTGAACTTCAAAAATTGTGTAACGAGGGAAAGAATTTGAAAGAGGAGAGAACTGCTTCACCATTTAAAAGTGATTTAGAAAGATTTAGCTCCATTCTTTAAGTGAAAGTTTTAAAATATATTGTATTATATCAACGTATATAGGGTGGTATGCTGGCTCAATATGTTACTACTGCTGCCTCACAGCACCAGGAACACAGGCTTGATTCCAGCCTTGGGTGACTACTGGATGGAGTTTGCACATTCTTCCGGTGTCTGTGGGTTTCCTCCAGGCGCTCCAGCTTCCTCCCATAGTCCAAAGATGGGCAGGTTAGGTGGCCACAGGAAATGTGGGGTTATGGGAACAGGGTGGGGTGCTGGGTCTGGGTGGGATGCATTTTGGAGGGTCGGTGCAATTTGGATGGGTGGAATGGCCTCTTTCTGCATTGTAAGGATTCTATGATTCTATGATTCTAACACATCAATTAGAAGATGGTGAAATGCTAAATTGTTGGCACATGTAAGCAGTATAAATAAGGCACTGTGAAAGTAGGAAAGTAAATGGCAAAGAACTTGAGCACATTTCTGCTCCAATCACAGGAGAAGGCAGAAAGCCACATTAAAAAGGTTCTTGCTCAATGTTGCAGTTCAGGTCACGTTCATCATAATAGAACTCAGATAGCTTGGTAAAGACAATAATGAAAATGCACGGTCTTATAGCTTGTAGCCTTTTTAACTCAAAGCAGTGAGTAGGAATGGAGCAAAAGACTCATCCAGGATATAGGAGAGAATGCCTTCATGGAACGGTTTAACTGTTGTGTTAAATTTCTCAAGACAGTCAATTTTCACCATTACCTAGCAAAGGCCCGCAAACCTGACTGGAAAAGGGTTTCATGCAGGTGTAAAGGGATATGCTCTTTTGCAGGGATTTTTCCTGAAGCTGTCCAACTGTGAGACACTATTTAGGTGTTCCTCTACCCTTTCTGAAATCAAACCAAAGGGCGCTGGTAAATGTTTTGTTAATGATGGAGAGGGAGAGAGATTAGTTTGCGATTAGCAATTTCTTTTCTTCCTGCACAGGTCGACATTGGGGCGTCCTCTGTATTTTTATGGGATATTCTTTTACGTCACAAAGACAGGAAAGAGGTCAATGAGCTTCTCAACCAGGCAATAGTCTCCAGCCTTGTAGACATCAGTTGGGAAAGAATCAGCTCCTGAAGGTTTGCCACTTGACATGAATTTGATTGTGTTCTTTGTATCTAACAGGGTGGATATCCATCAAGAGAATAGTTGATGGCAACGCATGACAGCTTCTTGATTGCTCCTAATGGATGAAGGCTAATTAGAATGGCATTAAAGTGCTCTGCCCAGGTTTCTAGAATTTGGGCTTTTTTCCATTCGTAAAACTGACCTACCAGTACCAAGGATTGCCAATCATCCAGTAAAGTATAGCTCACAAACAGGTTTCTGAGGATTAGAGACTCTCTTCCAGGAGATAAATGCTTGCATCCACAATCAATACACCCGATAACATGCAGGAGGTGACCACCTCAGTGCTAAGCAGCAAAAAAGAGCAATGAACCTAAAACCAGCCTCCAGTGTTAGAGTACAGAAGAAGTATATACTTGTAACATTAAACTCCAGCACAGCACTGCCTTTATCACCATCAAGATAGTGAATCTATCCCCAAATGTTTGCATGAGTTTTTTGTTTTTACCTGAACAATGAGGCCTTTAGAGTCAACCATCCAAATCTTAGAAAGAGCCTGCTGTTCAGGTATATCTTCCTTCTCCATTGCCATCACTATGAGATCTGCTATTCCCACGGCAGCCTAAAATAGGAACAGAAGGAAAACAAAATCAAATTTTAAAAAAAAGTTGAACAATTGAAAAACAACAATACAACCTTTTGGATTTCCAATTTAAACGTAATTTAAAGAAAAAGATTTTCTCCTCTTTTAACTTGTCATGTCTTGGCACACAATGCACCACTTTAAGCTGATGACACAAGTAGCAGCAACTGCACTCCAAATCCAGTGCTTGCTGAATAGAGGAACAAGAGAAGGTCATAAGGGTCTAGGCCCGAAACGTCAGCCTTCCTGCTCCTCTGATGCTGCTTAGCCTGCTGTGTTCATCCAGCTCTACACCTTGTTATCTCAGTAGATTCTCCAGCATCTGCAGTTCCTATCACTCTCTGACCTTCTTCATTCTCTGTGGAAACTGCCTGATCTCTGCTTCAAGATTGTGGTGCAGCTGTAACTATACTCTCAAAGTTACGTGGACATTTGGAACAAAACTGCATCCCACATAATATTGCACAATACAACGAAGATCCAACAGACTATATTACCTCCACAGTAATTCACAATTATAAATTATTTTAGTTCAGATGCAACTAGCAACATGGGAGGTCCAATTTGACATGACATCAAATTTCTTTGCATATTGATGCCCCAGTATTTTGTGATGCACATGTTAAAGTATACCTGCACATAAACAGATTTCCAATCAAACCACGATAGATTTAGATCTGTTGCATCAATATCCGAAAGCCAGGATGTGAAAGATCAATAACTGTAGTAACGTTTGAGAAACTTTGTTAACCCAAGCAAAGCAGGAGTGAAAAATCACTGATGTGCATCGACAATACATTTCTAAGAAGGGTCACTCGACCCAAAATGTTAACTCTAATTTCTCCCTACAGATGCTGCCAGACCTGCTGAGCCTTTTTCCAGTAATTTCTGGTTTTGTTACACATTTCTATTATTTGGATAGTCCCCTTAAAGAGACTTTACTTTGCAGTTGCAGAATTTACATTTGCTGCTCAATGTGTGAAAATTTCAATTTATACATTCAGTAAAAGGCAAAAACGAAATGTTCTTTTAAGACAGTTGGCTACATTGAGCAGGTAAATAAGGGACAGCACGTTATGATACTGTGGGCTTACCAAACAAGATTCTACAAACCTTTCAAAAATGAAGTATACTACAAATAGTAAATTTAACTCATTTGCAAGAATCGCCCAGCCCATCATATCTGTACGAACTTCCCCTCTTGAAAGATCATGAAGAATTAAAAGCCAAATAAAATGTAAGTTAACTGAAGTTACCGACTTACCTCTCCAGCACCTTGAAACAGGAACTTGTGATCTGACAATTTGTTCTTAGTGATGCGCAAGGCTGCCAGTAAACCTGCAACTGCCACTGCAGCCGTTCCTAAACGGAAATATATTTGTTAACAACAATACCATGCAAATATCTAAATAGCTGAATTTGAGATGTATACAAGCTAATCAAGTTATTCTCTTTATATTCTTTTATTCAATACTTTATTTGAATTGGTAATTTTTTTTTTTACTGCACATACGTATGACTTCTTTATAAAGTTAGAAACAAAATCCATGCAGCTTTAAGAGATAGCGCCAAATGGAATGGCAATTGTACACTCAAACTCACTTTTCACAGACTTCAAATGTTCTGGATCTTCACTTAAGAATTGCATAAATCTTTTCGATCATTACATTTTCCATCATTAAGGCATAATTAGAAGCTTTCATTTGATTTTTAGCTCATTTTCAGCTTAATGAACTTACTGAAGTTTACAGAACACAATCACCAAGCTACAAGTGCAAAAACAGAATACTTTGCCTCCAAAACTCCGACACATTCAGTAACAAGTTCTGAAGAAGTCATGTCAGACTGAAAATGTTAACTCAGTTTCTCTCTCCAAAGCCAGACTTGCCGGTGCTTTACAGCATTTTCTGTGTTTGTTTCAGATTTTCAGTATCCACTGTATTTTATTTCCATTTCCGTGTACAAGTTAACTGATTAAGGTCTTGAAATTTACATTCTATGTTTTGCTCAATTCATTTTGAAAACTAACCAAAGAAAGAATTGCTAATTGCCAAAGAAAATATCCTATCAGTACAATTCAGAGAATAGTATGGGTGCATCTGAAAACCAAGTCCACTTTATATGCTCAGTGCAACTTCTACTCTGAAAGTTAGCAAGTTTGCAAGATTGGAGTAAGTGCTCTGGAGAAAAAATATTACATTTAACTCCAGACATGCAAAATAGGTTGAGATGTTCAAATATCTACAAAGATGTGCATACACAAAAGACAAGTGAAGATATTAATTATAGTTACATTATTGTGACTTTTTCATTTGTTTGAATTTATTTCAAGCTTTATTTTGGATGTGAGAAAATTATTGAAAAAATGGTAGCTGAAATATTTTCACTAAGTAATTTCAGCCAACTTTGGGGAAAACAATGAAACAACACCAACCAATGGGCATCTTGTGCAATTAGAGGTTGATGGGCTTACACATGCTAATTTCATTATTATAGACATTTATAATGGGGAAAAGTTACCACATATTGGAAAAAAGAACATTTCAGAGTCAAGAAATGCAAAATTTTTTAAATAATAGATTTTAACATACAAATGGATTCAGAAAGCTTTCTGGTGTTGCCAGGGAAATAGCTTTATTACAATGGCAAATTTAGTGTGTTAGGCCATGCACGAGATGAAATGAAATAAATGCAACAGAAAGACATTAGTTTACTCTACTGAATCTGAATTTATCTTTTAGAAAGGGAAATGGTGATATGTCCTTCCATTGTTCTATACCATTCACAAGTAGTCAATAATTTCAAATCCTGCTTCGGTTCATTTTTTGAAACTTGTCGCTGGTATTAAGCAGCGATGCTATCGTATGTGAAGGTATTGTCAACAAGCAGGCATGAATCTCATGTTGAAGTTCCTCCTGGCTCAATTGAGTTACTGACTATTGCTGCAAGGGTGGGGAGTAGGCACAGAATGGGTAGACTGCTACTGAATACGATAGTGTTAATGAGATGAGACCAATGGTGTTGATGACCATACCAGTTCTCACGTCTGCCTTACGAACAAGCCGAATGGCATAAACCTAATGAAATCCTGTCTGTTCAAAGCACTGTGCAAGATAAGATGAGGAGTCTTTGAGCCAAACAGCAGGTTTCCAGTTCCTCAAGTCCTGTGTGCGTCCAGGGCTAAAGTGACACTGTGCTGGAGTCTTAGGACCGGAAGGGAGCACTCTGTACCTTGAATGTCAAAACCTTTGGGGATCAGATCAGCATTACATTGACCTTAAAGCATTTGCAGGATGGAGGCAGTAAGCCACTAGCAAGCCCCTTAAATTCCACGCCAATTCCTGTTTGCAAACACTGTCAAAAATACCAGGCTGCTTTGGGTCACAATACTGATTACCACAGGGTTCCATTTCCTTCCTGCTTTGAGCTGAATGAATACATTTCCAACATCAAATTCATGATCACATAACCTGCATTGTCTCTTCTGCCACTGTATTTTAACAACTTCAATTTTGATAATTTGATTGTTTTTTCCCAACCGCCAATTAAAAAGGTGGGGGGGCAGAAAGATGGTTGCGCAACTAACTTATTTCGGCATTATTTCACTAACTCCATTCTTTTTATAAAACCCCACATGTGGAATGTTGAAACACCTTCTGGCATTCCAATGGAATTATGTCCCCTGCTTAGCCCCCTTCAACAAACCTGGCTACCTCCTCAAAGAATTTCAACAAATTCATGAGGCATGACTTATGTTTTCTAAAACGATATTAACTTCCCTTTTATGGCCATTATGCCTTTGGGACAAGACCAGCACCTCTCAACATACTTCAGCTCTTTTTTTAAAAAAAATGCTTCATGTTCGGAACTTCATCTCTTGTTCACTAAGCTCAAAGGATATCACACCTGTTCCAGATATCCTGTTGACATGCAGTTTGCAATTTTACAATGCTATATAAATTAAGGCTGCAGACACATTCATGCCCACAGCATGGTAGTGGATCCCACTGTGTTTTAAAAGCTGGGCCCAATCCCTCATTTGTCCAACTGTCTTCGACATGGAAAATATGCAGGGATAACAGACTGGGAATTCTGGCAGAATCCAGCTATGCCAGCAAAATCCAAAAAGAATTTGCTCACCTTGGAAAGGCAAAACTCACAATTGACACTGCTCTGTAGAAACAGAGAGTGGGAGTATAACATGTCCTTTTTTGACAAAATGGTCTTAAGGTCCTGGAATCAGGAGATGTAGCAAAAAAAGAGATTGCTAGTCGCCCATGGAGCTCATGCACAAAAGGACTTGAAGAGTAGTTTAGTTTTCGGTCACCTCCTGAAATATCTATGTAAATAAACTCCCCCTTGTACATAGATACAAAACCTTAGTACTAATTGCAAACAAAAATACTCCAACTTCAAAATTCATGGGACAAAATAGCTTTAAAAAGAGGGCCTTCCAAGCAAGTCCCACCTGTTTAGTCATTGATGTACACAGTTTCTATAAACAAGGTTAACTATGCAGTCATTGCGTTCCAAGATGGTGCCAAAAAGTCTTCATTTAAATATTTCTGAAGTCCAGTCTTGTCAGCTCCATCACCTGGTTCAAATCTTCCCAATTGTGCCTTCTAGCAATATGCTGATAGCGCAGCTTCTTGTAAAAGGATGCCATGATCATTGATGCCAGTAGACTAACAACTGCCCAGCACACAAATCAACATGTCTGAAAAAAAAATGTGGACGTGATTCTGCTCTCAGCCCTAACTTGTGCACTAGTGCTGACAACTATTTGAAGTGATCAGAAAGACTGCCTACAGTGGTGATTGTCGAGGGAGCTGAAATTCCCACCTACGGTATGTCGTGTCTGGAACCATTTCAAAAGCAGCAGGACTGGTGTTAAGAGCTGCGTTGTCAGGGGTGAATTCTTGCAAGAACAGTAATTCCCACCCAGAGTATTTAGCAACTGGACGACTTCAAAGAGCAGCTGGATTTGGCGAAGAGCAGCATTATATGTAGGAAGGTGAAAAATGAATGGTAATAAACACGAGAGGGTGGTGGGGTGGGGAGGTAAGGGGACAGAAGAACATAGTGGCGCTTTCAGGAGAATGAGGAGAGTGGCAGATGTAAGGATCTGGAATAAAAGCATTGAAGGTCCACTGGAGAGGCAAAAGCAGCAGCAGCAATATGAATTGGGGGACAGTGGGCCGGGGTGGGGGGGGGGGGGGGGCGGTGGGGGAAGAGGGCGGGTGGAGAGGGGGGGCAGGGGGAGATGGGGGGTAGGGAAAGGTGCAGCCAGGAGGGCTCATCAGGGCAGGAAAAGGAGAACGTGCCAGTCTGATGGACAGTAATGGAAACAGAATTTTTCCCTGAAAAGAGCAGGAAATTGAATGAGAGAAAATTTCCCATTTAATACGGTCTGCAAGGAAGTGGAATTAGCTACGAAGATAGATTTTAGGGAGAAATGGACATCAATGTTGACATAACTTTTGCAGAAGTTATAAAATGGTCGTTTTACTGAAACTTTGCTCGGAAATTGAGTCAAATTGTGTACAAAATATTTAAAGTGAATAGAATGCATCAGTTTTAGTGGAAGAAATTAAAAAAAACTTTTTCAAGTATAAATTCTTGAAAGCTTGTGCCATCGATATTTGATTTTTCCTTTCAGGTTTTTATGCTGTTTTTTTTTAACCCTCTCCAAAAGAGATGAAAGGATATTGTGTCTACTTAAACTAGAAGGCCAAAGTGATTAGTTTTTTCCACACCAGGGCTGCTTGAGATGTCAGCATTTTCAAAAGGCACTGGCCAGATACTGCTGGTTTTCTAGGTTGGCACATAGAATGCTGAATTGCTGTAGAACATATGTTTTACTGACCTCGACATATGTTCTAAATTCCAGAGCCTGTTTGACTGCACATGGAATTAGTCCAAATTGATATAAAGAATTAGGTTAACACATGCATCATTTCCTGATTTCTTCTTGATTTTGCAATTATGCTAAGTAGGTCCTTTGAGAAACAAGTTTTAAACTTGCATTTATTTTTCTATGCAATGCTATACACAGCAATAGATCCCTCCAGTTACTATTTTTGCATTTTTCTCTTAGCCCAACCATCGCTGTTGTTAAACTCAACTGCCATGCATCATTAATGCCCATTGACTTTAGTTAACGCCGATAATTTGTTTTTTTTAAACTGACCAAAATCAGAGATATCAAAGGTAGAAATTCAGACACAGGTAGTGGCATGTGGTTCAGTTGGTGTGCCCAAACGATGAGGACTGAGGCCTCATTACAGTGGGGTCAGCGTGGCACAAATGGCCAGCACTTGAAAGAGAGAACTGGGAGCAGGCCTCATAGGAAGCAGGTGCTG